TGCCCCTGACGACACCATGTCACCTATATTAGATATTTTAACACTTGTGATTAGTTTTAGAGATTAATTTTATTATACTGTTAAAACTTTAAAAATTTATATCATCAATATTTTAAAATACGTCATAACAATAAAATTTAAATTAATTATTATAATTTTTTAAAATTCTTAATTTTAACTTTGAACGGAGTTAATCCCATGCTAAAAAAATAAGAAAATCCCAAAAGTTAAAAATTTGAGTAACCTGAATGTATGTGACATATTGAATATTTGAATTGGCCGGATTAAGAAGAAAATCATGAAAGATTCAGTGAACCATCTTAATCACTTCCAGAAAACACGTTACGCAAGCAGCCTATAAGTATAGGGTTGCCTAAAACACATAGAAATCATGTTATATGCTACACACAATTAAGTCAACCTATGCAATTAATTTAATTGCGACTCAATAATTAGAAAGATCTTCCAATAAGCTTCACTTCCTTATTTTTCCTTCTATGGGTAGTGTGTTGGGTTTGAGTGCTTGTTGATTTCATTCACAACTTTACCTATATGATTAAGCATAACTATGGGCCATAACTCTGGCTAGTGCTTCTTATATAAGAATCAAGGGGTTATGTGCTTCAATTGATTCAAGAGGTAATTAATGAGTTTTCAAAATATGAGGGAAAGAAAACTTATCCAGTCAAATTGTTTTTTATTATAAAATATTATTTAATTGTTATACTAATTCTTTTTTAAATAATCAAATATGGGGAAAAAAATTTTAACTTATCAACACATTAACACCTTGTGTTGTGCTATCTTCGGAGGGGACAAAAGCACTATTTGATGGCTCAAAGGGGCAAAATTGATTTTCTAAAAGCTTTTCCAGTCCCTTTTTCCATTGGGTGAAAATCAATGTGTTTGATTCGACATTGGATGGATGGATAGATAGATTAAGAACAAAGGTAACAGACATCAAGACGGGCGCGTTTAAATGTGATTACAAAATACAAATAAAAATTATTGATATTGGCTCCTAAACAGATTGAAATGGCTGTTGAAAGGTTCTTCCCCATCTACATCAAATCAACGGGATACTGAAAATCTATAGAATGCGTTTGTTTAAAAGTTTTTATTGATTTCAAATGGAGTTTAGGGGGAAGGAATTTTATTATTAAATGATTGCATCTACTTAAATCTTAAATGTAAAGATTAAGTAAATGCACATTAACACCTTAGAAGAATTATTAGTTTGTCAGACAGAGAGTTAAAGTCATATTTGAACTGAATAAAAGATGAAATGAAGTGAAATAAAATACTATTTTAATAATTTTTTATTTTAGTAGTATTTGTAATATTAAACATGTTTTTTAATATCTCTTAAAATTAGATGATGTTGATACTTTGTACCTTAAGTTGGACAGCTTGATAATTATTTCTCACTTTTTCTAAATTTAATATCGCCTAAAAAATACAAATTTCTTGCTAAATGTAAAGCATGTTTCTATTACATTGCATTACTTTTATATTTTTTTTTTCAAATTCATAACTTTAATTACTGTAATGCGTGGAATTTGGTTCGAAGGCTTTTACAAATTAAGAATATATATATATATATATATATATATATATATATATATATATATAATATGTGTGTGTATTGATATTATTACCTTCGTATTCACATATCTTATCTCTTATCATAACTTCTCTGTCTTTACTTTTTGAATGTTTTAAAGAAAATACACAACAATTTAGGTTTGAGTTTAAAAAATTTGTTATGCTTGTTAACACTATTGTTATTAGCATTAATTATGATATAGTTAATATTTTTTAACATATATAAAAGAATATAGAATACAAAATTTTAATTTTGTACATTGTCAACGTAAAGATCTTTACAATATTAATCAATTAAAATATAAATTATATTAATCAGTTTAAACATTTAAATAGAGCAACAAAAATACAGTTTAAAATATTATAATATAAACTATATAATAATAATAAGCCTATGTGTTTTGTTTATTTAAATAAAACCAAGTTGTTAAGTTTAAAAATCTTTTCAAATAGTATAAACCATAAACTTTTAATTAAATACGTTTCCTTAAAAAAAAAAAACTTATTTTATTTAATAAACAAGTCTACTTTAACTTAAACCTATTACAAGTGAGGATATATACCTCAATAAGCCTTGTTCCAATCCCAAGGGAATGAATGGTATACCTTAAAATCGATTTGCTGCGAATATAGCCAGCCACCACAAAGTTGACCTTATGAAAAGCATATGCTAAAGGTGTAATTCTAATGATAAATATAATATTACTTTAAATAAAATTTATATACAAACTTTATTTAAAAATTTTCCAATTACAAATCAACTTACTTTCATTAAATATTATTTATTTTCTTAACGAATATTCTTAAAGCCCTTAAAATCATTATTTGACATATATTAAATTATGGAGACAATGGTAAGAACTTACTTATTATTTAAAAAAAAAAACTCAAAATAAAGAATGATTTAATTACCCGAGAAATAAATAATATAGTGGGCCTCTCGGACTTAGGGATGAATATGCACGTCTAAACAACAATCCAATGGATCAAAACAACAAAATAAAAAGGGTATGAATCCATAAACACAACACAAGTCGGAATTATCCACTACGCACCTAAAAAAGAAAAACAAATTGAAATAATCGACCAAACTATCAGAGCATGGAAGATAGTCCCCAAGAAACAAAAGGACGAAAATCCCAATGTGTGTTTTTTTTTTTCTGTCATGAAAATTTAAATAAAGGAAAAAGAAAGTGATGTCATTCAAAATCAGAGATACAAAAAACTTGAGGGAAAGCTTCAAAGAAGTACGTAACTACTGGACACAATTTTTTTAGTGAGAAAAATAGAAAATAAAACGAGGTAAAGAAGCCAGATAAAAAAAATATCTTGTAAAAAAATTATCAATATAAAAATAAAATTACTCATTTTTTTATATATGAAAATGCTCGCTCTCACTTCCCAATGGGGATACAATCCTCTGTGGTTAGAAATCAATTGCAAGCACATTCAATTGTGATCTAATGGCTCGTAAATTCAGAGCAAAACTTAGATGTGACTATTGGAGTTGTAGGGCCACAGGATTTATGGTTGTTTAATCCCCCGCTTAAAATTTATCTCACCCGTTACGAAAAAGTGAGTGAAAATTAAATTTTTACATTAACCTAAATGTTTATTAAACGCTATTCTAATACAAACCAAACAGTAATTGTATACAGTACCGTAGATCTATACTAATAGAAAATCTGGATGCCACTAGATGGAGAGAAGAAAAAGTAAAAGGCTAGTAGGTGAGGACATCGATTGTACAAATATTTTTTTTAAATGCCATTATTTTGTTGCCTGGTAGATTTAGAAGATATTTGAGAACTAAATGGTTACCCCCAGTTAACATAAATTGAATACAACCCTGACTGCATAATTATGCAATTCGATTATTTCCATTTTTTTATTTTGCTTTCGGCGGCAGGATAAACCCTATAATCAATTATTGGTAAGGATAACCTTAAATACGTTATTACTGATCTAGCTGCAGTTTTAGCGTCAGATTGTTGATTTAAAGAGACTAAACACAAGACCATTAATCAGAGAATGCAGCAATTACTTGTTGCCTGTTTAAATTGGCATGCTACAGTCAATTTTTTCCTCAACAATGGACTCACTATAAATCAGAAGTGATTCTGAAGAAAATTGGAAATAATAATACTCCAAGTAACAGCATAAATACACACTAAATAAGCTACAAAACCTAAACGAAAAGAAAAGTAAATGCTTGAAAACAGATACATAACAGCTCATGACCTTCTAGAATTGCTCATTAACTTAGTCGCGACAGCCACAGCCTCTTGTGATTTAGGGCATGTTTCGAGTCACATTTTAGTGCTCATGCTTTCACATTTCCTTCAGTGTTATTAGTTGACTGGATTCACGTTTACAAGTTTCTTAATGTGTTTTCAAAGCACACTTTTAAAAGACAAGCTTAGCATAGTTCAATACTTAACCAAATTCAATAACACTGGAGACAATATATGCTATCGATATCATCAATATGATGTTACCTGCTTGCTTGCCACCCTAGTCCATACTTTAATTGACCTCTACCTAAGACTATACTCTGTGGAGTTTACATAGAAGAAGATAAACCAAAACAGTAGATAGGTGCACTTAAAGTGATGCTCGTATCAGTTGATGCACATGTTCAGTCCCCCTTTCAGACCAAAGGCTCGAGTTAACTTAAATACTTCGTATATATTATACTTCCTCAGCATGACTGGTTATATGTAGATGGTTTACATCTAATATTAAGAAACTAGGAAAATAAGAAACAAGACAAATCAAATGCTAAATATACAGAAAACATACAGCCCTGAAACAGGGGATGCATTCCAACAGAGAAAAATCAAAACGAGTCTGAGTGTATGTTTATATGACATGACCAAATAGGACACTCCATATATGCTACCCAGGCAATTGAGGTATATGTAACAATCACAAGATAGATAGGGTCATGTCCATTCGAAGTTGTGACAGATAAGCCATCGTTATTTTGTTAAGAGTACTAAACCTGAATAAGCATAATTGGAAACAACCATAACAAAATTTCTCCAACAGCACGACATATGTCATGTATGTTTAGAAACACTTCAGAAAATCTTTAAATGTAAATCTAATACAAAAGCTACAATTAAGAACATTGAAATAAACAGGAACCCATAAGTATTTAAATTCAAATCTAAACTCGCTAGCTATGTCCTTGAATAATGAATTTAATTTTCATCTTAAATCCTGGTCACTTACCAATTTCCATGGGGTTTATGTTCCTTGTATGTCATTCTCCAACAAGACTACCGACAATTTACATTGTACAATGAATAATGAATGTAAACTTTCGATGGAAAAATCATTTTAGAAAATCTACATTCTTGCTCATAAAAACATTTCACAAATCATAATTCTCAGCTCTTTGCACCTATTCCTCCACTCTCTAGGCTCTGCGAGAAAATCTTAGTATTATCCTCAAAATACTCTTTATAAGGATGATCTTGAGGAACAAGTGTTCGGTACTTCTCAAACTGTTTCTCAGCTTCATCTTGCTTCCTCAGCATAGTATAAACAATACCCTGACACAAGTAAGGTCTAAAATCCTTGGGTTCTTCCTTCACAAGCTCTTCATACACCTTCAGCGCATCAGATAATTCCCCATCAATAACCTTTATCTGCGCAATCAAAAGCTTAAAGTCCCTAACCTCTGAATCCATCTCTTCCTCCTCGCAAACCCTAACCGCTTCTTCGATCCTCTTCAACAATTCCTCACTTGGCTCGTTCAATTCCGAATTAGCCATTAGAAAGCCACGATAAGCTTCAACGTTAAACGGTTCCTTCTTAAGCACACTTTCGAACACGTTCAAGGCAAGTTTGTGTTCGCCGTTGTGGATGTACAAGTGCGCCTTCAGCAGTAGCCATTCCAACTCCTCCGGTTCCAGCGAGATCAAACGCTCCAGAACGCGAATCGCTTCGTCGATTTCGCCAGCTCTGATCTTTTCCTCCGTCAGGGAACGAAGCGCGTCGGCTTCGTCGAGGTTGTTGCTCGGTTGCTGCTCTTCGACGGCGCTCGGGAGAGTTTCCGACACGGAGGAATCCGAAGGAGGAAGAACCGGCGCCGCCGTGGCGGTGTTGAGCTGTAGGCGGGTGAAGAAGAATGCGGTTGCGGCGATGGCGATGCAAGTGGATTTGACTAGAGGTGAGAAATGAGGATTTAGGGTTTGTCGGAGGTGGGCTTTTGGTAACGGTGTTGATGAGGCTCTGATAGAAAATGATTTGAATGATGGAGGAGAGAATGGAGGTAGCGGTAGAGAGCGGAAGAAGCGAGGAGAAAATACTGTTGGAAATGAAGAATTGTGGTGAGCGAGTGAGAGGTGAGAATGGTGCATTTTAGAGAGCGACTCCATGGCTAAGGTGGAAGAAGACGAGCTCACGCAGAAGCAAGGGTTTCTAACAAAAACCCTGGGATTCTGGAAATAGTCTTGCATGCAACGATGTCGTTTGGTATCGCTTTTCGCTTTTCTATATATACCTTTATTTTAATGTTAAATGATTAAATTTTTATATATTTGTTATAAGCAGTCGCGAACTAAATTTTAAATTACCTTCTGGTTGTAGGATATTTATAGATTAAAAATAAATTTCAAGTGAAGTAATTTAAGTAAAAAAATATTCTTTAAGTGCATAGATAAAATTTATTTTTAAATGCATAATTATTCAATGATTTAATAACTTGCTGATAAATTAAATTTATTTAGTATATTTTAAAATATTAAATTTTATTATTGAATACATTAATGAATTTTTGAAAAATTATAAAATTTTAAAAAAATTAATATTTAATCAATCAATTTTATTTTTAATAGATATTATATTATTTAAACTACAAGCAAAATTTAACTGTAAAATAACATATATATTGATATTAAAATTATAAACAAAAAAGTACGCGCATAACCATTCCTATAATTAAACGGTTTATTTGCTAAACTATTCCACATTAACTTATTTAGCAAAATGTTAAAACACTTACTCTTGAATGAAGTAAATCCTCACTCCGTTGAAATGGTATTAAAATGTTTAAAAAATGGTTAACACTTATGGATTTGAATTTTTTTTCTACAAAAATAACAAAATAACAGATATAACAAATTTATTTATTTTTATTTATTTAAACGACGGTTAAGTTTTGGAGTGTAAAAGAGGTTGAGCTATTAGTTGTTTTTTTTTTTTTCCTATTCACTCTCCTCATTGATAATTTCTAATTTTGATTTGTATCGTTACACTTACCAAAAGAAATATTTTATCAACACTAAATTAATCCATAAATGAAAAGATATTTTTTTTTCTCACTCCTAGCTTACTTTCCCTTTCTCTCTCTACAACTTCATCTTTTGGAGTGTGGTATGCTTTGGTTTGAACCAGACACAGAGGGAGTCCCATCATCGACTCTCCATTCCGATGGATTAAGAATCTTAATCAACCAACAAAACCAAAGTGCTGTTAGAGCGTCCAAAGAACAATGGAAATAATCACCCTCAACAGGGTCAGAAATTTGGCTATTATTTATAGTTATTAAAATTTGATTTTTATCATTAGTTTGAAGCTTTCATTCTTAATCACCATTTAACTGATACATTGGATTATTTAAAAAATTAAATCACCAATGTTGCTGTAATACATATCTTTAATCTTCAATTAGAGGTAAAAAATTCCATATATCTTTACCATTTCAGTAAATTCCACCCATTAATTCTAGCCGTTCGTTATTTTATTTCTCAAATCTACTATCAAAATTGACCAGAGCATCCATGCACTCTAATAAGCAGAGTGCATGTTAGAAAGAAATGTTGGGGAAAACCAAACACAAGAACACAATTATCTAAAGTAAGCAGCGGAAACAATTTCCCAAACTTGCAAGAACTTGTGAGGAGCAACAACAATAACAAATGACAGCAACAAACACAAGGACACAGAGAATTATTTACGTGGGAAAACCCTCTCAATGTGAGAAGTAAAAACCCCACGGGCTCAAGCCAGTTAATCAAGCTCTACTATAATCAAATGAGGAGTACAAGAGTGTTCAATCAAGTGCACAAATTCGTGCAAACAGCTAGCCAAAATCAACAAAGCAATAAAGCCTACAATGAAGGATCAAAGAGAGAATATCTCACAAAATAGGACTACTGTTCAGATATAATTTCTCTCAGCCAAAACTTTCAATCGACGATCCCAGCGGTCAGAATGAAGAAATATACGTCTGGGAACTACTGTCAAAGTTTCAGCTCAATCCAACGGTTAACTAAGGAGAAATAACGATTTCTCAGCAGCTAGTCTGTGCAGAGTTACCAAAAACAGGGCTTCTGTGCGGAGTTACCAAAAACAGGGCTTCTGTGCGAAGACAATATCTCCAACTTCAGACCTCCAATCGACCATCTGAACGGTTAGAACGAAGATCACCGTGTTATAAACCTGTTGTAAAATTTTCAACCCGATCTAACGGTGAACGAATCAGATATCAAAGAAATGGAGTAACTGGTCTGGAGCTTCTTTTCTTCCCTCACTTCCCTTCTCTCTTTTGATGCCTCTCTCCGAAAATACTTACACTAGGCTGCGGAAAAAATGGACTTCCCTCACCCACTCCACTGACTTCTCACTCCCCTCAATTAAGTGTAGAAAATGAGCTTGAAAATTTGGACTTTTTTGACACATAGTTGGGAGTCCAACCCAACAATTCTCCCCCCTCACAACTATGTGGAGGTGACCGTCAATCCGGCGATCTCACAACAGTACTCAAACTTCCCTCTTGGTAGTGCCTTAGTCATCATATCAGCACCATTATCATCAGTATGAACTTTAGCCAACTCCAACAGCTTAGCATCCAAAACATCACGTATCCAATGATACCTTACATCAATATGTTTGGATCTAGAATGGAAAGTTGGATTCTTACCAAGATGGATAGCACTTTGATTGTCACAGAGCAACAAGTATTTGTCCTGCACAAAACCAAGCTCTTGCAAGAATTTCTTCGCCCATAGCAACTCCTTGCACGCTTCAGTAAGTGCAATGAACTCTGCCTCTGTGGTAGACAATGCTACACACTTTTGCAGTCTTGACTGCCAAGCTATAGCTCCCCCTGCAAATTTAATCATATAGCCTGAAGTAGACCTCCTGGAATCAATGTCTCCAGCCATATCTGAGTCTGAGTAACCTACCAAAGTAGGTTTATCACCTCCAAAACAAAGCCTCAAATTAATAGTACCACGAAGATACCTCAAAATCCATTTCACAGCATTCCAATGCTCTCTACCTGGATTTGACAGAAATCTACTGACTGTACTAACAGCATGTGCAATATCTGGTCTTGTACATACCATTGCATACATCAAACTACCCACTGCAGATGCATAAGGAACTCTGCTCATGTCTATCTTCTCAGCTTCATTTGAAGGATTCTGTTTAACACTCAGCTTAAAATGAGTCGCAAGAGGAGTGCTCACAGCTTTAGCATTTTTCATTTGGAATCTTTGTAACACATTCTCAATGTAGTGCTCCTATGATAGCCAAAGTTTCTTCTCTTTCCTATCACGAGTGATTCTTATACCAAGAATCTTTTTAGCAGCTCCTATGTCTTTCATGGCAAATGACTCGCCTAGTTACTTCTTTAACCTGTCAATCCTGGAAATATTTTTTCCAATAATAAGCATGTCATCAACATACAATAACAGGATAATGAAGTCATCATCAGGAAACTTCATAACAAAGACACAATGGTCAGAAGTAGTCTTCTTGTAGCCTTGATCAAGCATAAAGGACTCAAACTTCTTATACCATTGTCTTGAAGCCTGCTTTAAACCATATAAACTCTTTCTCAACCTGCACACATAGTCTTCCTTGCCTTTAACAAGAAAACCATCAGGTTGCTTCATATAGATCTCTTCCTCCAAATTACCATGAAGGAAAGTTGTCTTCATATCCATTTGTTCAACCTCCAAATCAAAAGTAGCAGTTAAACTTAACACTGTTCTGATGGATGACATCTTCACCACAGGTGAGAAAATCTCATTAAAATCAACACATTTTCTCTGTCTGAAACCTTTCACTATTAATCTGGCTTTGTACCTTGGAGATGTAGAATTACTATCTTGTTTCACCTTGAAAATCCACTTGTTCTCTAAGGCCCTCTTGCCCTTAGGAAACTTCACCAAGTCATAAGTGTGATTATCATGCAAGGATTTCATCTCATCCTGCATTGCATCCAGCCACTTTTTCTTTTCTTCACTCTCAATAGCCTCTTCAAAACACTCAGGTTCTCCATCATCAGTCAACAACACATAATCTTTAAGATCATACCTTTTAGATGGTTGTTTCGGCCTGTTAGACCTTCTGGGTGGAACTAGTGGTTGTTCTGGTGCATCATCAAGATCATCATCATGTTCCCCTTGATCACCATCAATCGGAACCTCTAATCCATCTCCAACCTGCTGGTCATCAACATCACCATGTTGCTCTTCATTCTGAGAATTAGTCTCAGCATGATCCAGATTGTGAACAGGCAACCATATTGGATTACCATCAGTCAGATTACTATCTTTCTTAGGTGTAGTCTTTTCCACTTTATCAATATCTTCAATGGTTTGATCTTCCATGAACTGCACATCACGGCTTCTAACAATCTTCTTTTCAATAGGATCATATAACTTGTAGCCAAATTCATACTGACCATAACCAATGAAGATACATTGCCTTGTCTTCGCATCCAACTTGGATCTTTCATCCTTTGGAACATGAACATAGGCCTTGCAACCGAAGACACGCAAATGATCATAGCTCACATTCTTGCCAAACCAAATTTTGTCTGGCACCTCAGTCTTCAAGGCAACTGCAGGACTAAGATTAATAACATGCACTGCCGTAAGCAAAGCCTCACCCCAGAAATGATTAGGCAACTTTGCTTCAGAAAGCATACACCTAACTCTTTCAACCAAGGTCCTGTTCATCCTTTCAGCTAAACCATTCAGCTGAGGAGTTTTAGGAGGAGTCTTTTCATGTCTAATACCCTGCTGCCTACAATAAACATCAAAGGGTCCACAGTACTCACCACCATTGTCAGTACGAATGCATTTCAGCTTCTTGCCTGACTGCCTCTCAACCAAAGCATGAAATTCTTTGAATTTTTCAAGCACTTGGTCTTTTCTCTGCAATACATAGACCCATAGCTTCCTGGAACAATCATCAATAAAAGTAACAAAGTAAAGTGCACCACTAAATGACTTTACCTTTAATGGGCCACAAACATCAGAATGTACCAATTCAAGTAACTCTGACTTCCTGGAGGGAGGATGCTTCTTGAAGGATACTCTGGTTTGTTTACCAGCCATGCAATGAGAACATTTCTCCAACT